TTATTCCCTCTAATATTTTCAGATGGTCTTGGGTAGTCTTCTCACACATACATTGCTGAGTACTAAGCTGAAGATCCATGGAGATCTTGAGCACATTTCTGAGGTTCTTTCTTTATAAAGCTCTTCTGTGGCACCTCTCTCTGCGAACTCTAACTTCCTTGGCCTCTCTGTGCTCCCAGCTCTGTTTCTTCAACTCAGGAAGATTTGTTTCTTCTCAGTTCTCCCTCCCTGTGCCACAGCCTGGAGACTATCCAGGCAGTAAGCCAGGATAATCAGAGGGCTCACCTTAGGCGCTTCACATCTCTCAAGGATCACAATTCTTTCTTGCTGGATGTCCAATGTCAAGAAAAAAATCACTATTTCATATAGGTCATCTGATTTCTTAGTTGCTTCAGGTGGAAAGGCAAATCTGGTCCCTGTTACTTCATCTTGGCCAAAGGCAGAAGTCAGAATAAGAAATTAAAGGCAACATTGGGACCATGATCATTTTATTACATGAAATCCAATTCAATCCTCAAGAGCATTAAAGAATAATAATGGTTATGAAGTTCAATTTGGCACTGGATTAAGAGACCTTTCTGATTGGTTCTGGATGTCTCTGGCTGCCAGAAGAATATAGGTGTTACGTAATGCTTAATTTTTCATGGCCCTGAGAAGTTCAATACAGAGAAATGCTGATCCTACAGATGTACACGCACAGATTAGTTCTGTGCTCCAACGGATGGGAATCAGTGTTATCCAGAAAGGTAGTAATAACACACATATAAGCTCAAGTACTTGGATAACAGACTCAGTTCTCAGCAACCCATGTGTATTAACTCACCAGGAGCCTTGGATTTTACCAAATGAGGGCACTAATGCACAAAGAAGACACACACAGAAACGGTCACTAGGAACCAGCCTGCAGTCACTCACTACCAGATCTACCGTGCTGCTCTGAGCAGTTTCTTGCCCTGGCAGGAAGCCACAGGAAAGATCTGTATGGGTCCCTGCAAGACATATGACAGAGTCTTACATGTAGGTTGGTGAAATGGATTGTGAATTTGGGTTTAGAGAGTCAATACATTATAATTATACAGGGGGTCTCTAAGAGTTTCTTCTTCAACACAGCTTGTCCACAGGGCCGTTGGTGGTTGGGTAAAGTCATGTGAGACCTTAAATTTGCTGTTAGGGTTATGGATGGATCCCAGATCAACACATACTTATTGAGCACCTACTATATGCTAGGCACTGACCAAAGTACTTGGAAAACACTGATGAGTAAAAGCAAAGATTCCTGCCCTTGAAGGGTTTATCATCTAGAGGGAGATTATCAATAGTCACAACAAACAAGTGAATTACATAGCGTGCAAAAAATGTAAGTTTGTGAAAGTAGGGCTTTCCCTTAGGGAATCAGGAGACCTGGGTGCTCTAAGAGCGGGCAGGAGAGGGTTACCAGATTAACATTTTAAAGATTTTATTGATTGATTGACTGATTGAATGTAAGCAAGGTAGGGGAAGAAGCAGAAAGAGGAGAGAGAGAGAATCTCAAGTAGACTCCCTGCTGAGCATGAAGCCTGACACGGGGCTTGAACTCACGCCCCTGGTATCATGACCCAAGCCGAAATCAAGAGTCAGACACTTAACTAGCCAAGCCACCCAGACGCCCCTTACCAGATTAAAAATTTAAATAGCATGGTCAGGGTAGGCCTCCTTGAGAAGATTACCTCTGAAAAAACAAAACTCCAAAAAACTCAAAAAAGATGAGGCACTTAGTCACAGGGACAAGTGGGAGAAGAGTATTCTGGTAGAGGAAATGGCCATCATGAAGCAGAGTGTCCCTGCCAGGAGCATGCCTTGCAGGTTCAAGAAAGAGCAGGAAGGCAATTTAACTGGAACAGAGTAGGTGAAAGGGAGATGCAGAAGGAGGTGAGGACAAGGCTGAAGAGGGGAAGGGGCTCATGCACTAAAAAGTCGGTGTTACAGGGAACAAGAAAGGAACAATACGACATATGTACGCCCTTCTGTTATACTGAACACCCACTGAAACACATATCCATAAAGGTACCACATGAGTAAACTGATGATAAAGCAAGCCTTAGACTCCCTTAGTTGGAGGGCTCCTGGGTGGCTCAGTCAATTGAGCATCTGACTCTTGATTTCAGCTCAGGTCATGATCTCAGGTCATGATCTCAGGGTCCTGGGATTGAGTCCCCCCATACCCATCCCCGCCCCGTTAGGTTCCACACTCAGCACGGAGTCTGCTTAAGACTCTCTCTCTCTTTCAAATAAATTAATTAATCTTTAAAAAAAAAATCCCGTAGCGGGGTACTGCCTTAGTTTGGCTTTGAGTCATATGGTGCGTCCCAGGCCTAGGGCAGCACTCCTTGGTTCCCAGCTGGCCTCATGCTTGTCCAGCAGTGCCTCTTATGCATCAGCATGACATTACCACCATCTGACTGTGTGAGTTACCGCCATCTGACTGTGAGATTCACACTGCAGGGAGCACCCTCGCCTTGCAAGCAGGAAAATTTCCGCCAGCTCCCTGATGCTGCTGGCCAGCTAGTCAGCTGTGTTAACACGTGCTCTTCCACTCCTGCTGGGTATTGGGGAAGACAAACATCCATTTTATTTTAGTACTGGTGAGCTCTCAAAGAAAAGGCAAGAGGGAAGACATCTTTTGTGGTTCCTGGTGAGCCGTGGGAATAAATGCTCGGCTTCCCTGTAACTTACACAATGAGAGGATCTCACTTTATATATTTGTATCTTGGGCTTCTAGGGAGAAAAAAAAAAAAAAAAGCAGCATAGCTAAGCTGATCATTACTTGTTGCCATTTCGCTGTCTTCTTCAAACAAAATGAAGCTCGCAAAGGAAAATGAAATACCAGGTCACCTTCCTCCCCTTTGGGGTCTGTCTTTAAAGGACTGTCCATAGTCTTCCTTTTCTCCCTCAGTAATAGACACACCCGGGCTCAGTCTGCAGCCCACCCCCCTGTTCCGGCTGGGACCTCGGCCCATTACCTAACCTCTCTTAGCCTCTGTTTTCTCATCTGTTAAATGGGGTACAAAGCCTCTGCCTCGACGGTTGCAGTCAGGGTTTCATGTGACAGTGCATGGAAAGTTGACCCTTCCTATGCGCTCTCTCTGCCTGGGAGATCATGAGCCCCCGGTATAGGTACCTCCCCCCTCCTATCCCTCCTGGCCCAAATGGTGTGCGATCACCTGGCTCCTAAAAGGCAAAAATGGTTGCAGCTCTGAGGGAGGAAGAGGTCTCTGCCTGGCTTCCCACCCCCTGCCCCACCGCATCCCCCGTCCATCCTGCCCCTGGTCGGGCCAGCACAGCATGACCTGCAACATCCCACCGGCCCTGAGGTTGAGCCGAGTGCCTGCTCTGTGTCCTGCCTCAGCTGGGCACTTCTCTCTTCTCCACCCAGGGTGTCTCTACTCTTCCTGAATGCTCAGGGTCCTCCCCTGGGGTTCTATCCACATGGATTTTGTGCCGTCACCACATCATCAAAGGACCCTGTGAAAGCTGCCCTTTCTGATGATTCTGTGTCATCAGGTACTTTAAAGGACCGAAGGCTGGGACAGGCAAACAGGGTGCCTCCTAGCTGCACATGGTATCTGAAGGAGAGTCTTCGTGGTCAAGGCCGATGGTGAGCACCAGACATACCAATGGCAGACTGCTGGGGATGATCGAATGCTGGGGCTCACTGCATCTCCCCATAAAGGTGTAAGGTACAAGGCATTGGGGTGTACAGTGGGCGACGGCTCTGGAAGGGACCCTTGCTGGCACCTCTGCAAGGGGATGGGAGAAGAAGATTCACGACAGAGCTGTGAACAAATGCCCTTCGGGGAAACAGCTAGCAGGAAGTGCTAGCCTGCTTTTGAGGCGCTGCCCTTTTCTGCACCCCAAACAATGGCAGGTAGTGCTCCACCTGAGGACTCCGCCCTGATCTCCTGAACCAACTCCCCCAGAGCCAGGGAGCACTTGAGAGGCAGCACCCCGCCTCCCAGAGTCCAGGCTGACCTGCTCTGCGGGCTGCGACCCCGGGGTCTCATTCTGGAGGCACAGTCCCCAGTGTGGCTGTCTTGGAGTTGGTCTCGCCCTAGATTCTAGCTCCGGGAGCCTGTCCCGCCCTCCAGGCTCCCTCCCTGGGATTCGATGCCACCCTGAGCTCCAGCACTAGCCGGCCTCCCTCAGGCCGACGGCCACTGGGTGGCTCCTGAGTCCCACAGAGCCCCACCCCAGCTAGCTCTCCTGCTTCTGGCCTTCTGCTCCAGAACGGCACAGACTCTGCCCCCCTACCTGAGCCAACTGCCGGCTAGAGGCCAGAACACAGGCTGCTCTGGCCTCCCCCTGGGCCATGGCATGGAGACGGCACTGCCCCAGGTCCCCGCGCGTCCCTCTTGGCACCTCCACCCCCAGAAGGGGCCAAGCCACGGCTTGTTGTCTACAGCATGGTGAGAGAGTGTGTGCTCTGCGGGCGAACAGACCTGAGACAGATCCTTGCTCTGCTACCTACTAACCAAGCCATTTTGAAAGCCTGCTTAACCTCAGAGGCTTGCTGTTACCATCTGTGCGCTGAGGAGAGCAACCCGGGAGCCTGGGGGGAGGGCTAACCGGGCTCACACGTTCGAAGCTCTAGCAAAGGACAAAACGCGCGGGCACTGCTCAGTAAAGGGTAACATCTTAACGGGCTTTTTGACGCTACTATCGAATAACCAAATGTATTATTTAGTAAATGTTCCCGACCTGATGCTTTCCAACGTTTAATGGTTTTTAGCCGCCATCCATAGCTCTCCGGGGTTTTATATCAGGGGACTTTGCGTCACTTCCGAGAAGGATGGGGTGCACCAGGGCAAATGCCCGTGAGGGTGTATGTACACGCACACATGGGTAAGTGAATGTGTGCGTGCATCCGTGTGTGTGTGTGTGTGTGTGTGTCGCGTATGGGTGGCTGTGTCCTCCGACAGAAGCCAGATGCTCCCTCCTGAGCCAGTCCTCCCGGGGCTGCTTACCTCCATGTTTCTGCAGAAGGTGGCATTGGTACCAAACAGGATCTGGCACTGCTCGTTGGCGCTGTAGTGCATGCCCGGCAGCTTGTGAGGGAGACGGAGCGCGTGCTGGCTCCTGGGGTCTGTAACCAGCAGACAGGTGCTGACTTTCGACCTGCAACAGCCAAGAGGCAAGCTGACTTGCGAGTGTCCTGCCCAGGTCTTTGTTTTGACTTGTCAGCTAAGAGCAGGTGAGAAGGACGCATCTCCAAATTACCGATGGCAGGACGACCCCGGCCCTGGGCTGCATGCATTGCGCTTTTTTTCTCTTTTTCTTCTTTTTCTACCTGACCCATTGCAGATCTTTACCACAAAGGCAATGGGAGTTTAGCAACTAGGAAAGGGCCTGAGCATCACACCCATGAGGCTAATGTACTTTTCTCAAGTTTGAGCATTCTTGGATGAGAATACTTTTGAAATAGATTCCTAGGGTATTTTCTTAGAATACGTCTTTGAGCAAAATTACTATGAATGAAGAAAAAAAGAAGTTAGGGTCATTTTGCTTTATTTCAAATAAAAACCAAGTGCTTATTTCCAACTCTGCAGATTCTCTTGGAGGGTCTGTGGTAGGCTTTGGCAGCTGACGGGTCTAGGTGTCCCACCCCTGAAAGCTGGCTGGTGGTGGCACAGTCTGCAAAAGACATCAGGATGGCAACCAGGGTGGAAATGTTCACAAGAAGTTGAGAACAACTCTGAGAAACTGAACTGGGGGGCTGTGAGGCTGTGGCTCCTAAGGGAGGTTAAATACTTGAATGCTTTGATTTCTTAATTCCCAAAAAAAGGCAGATGGCTGTAGAAAGGAAAGCCAGCCTCTCACCAAGATTCTTGAGGCACAGAATCGCCCACGAATACATAGAGGCTGATGCTGGGCCACTTCTCCCGGGCTCAGACACACACAACACTTTAACAAAGGCAGTGGGACCAGCAATATGTACATGAGCAAATGAAAATACCCTGCCCCGTTTCACTGACCCTTCTGGGAAAAATGAAACAATGTCAAGTGGCTTACAACATTTCATTAAGGTTCTGTGATAACAAGTACTCAGGAGGAAAGAGATTATATTAAAACTAACAAGTCCATTTTTAAGACATGTGTACCACTTAATTTCCCTACCCACAGGAAATGTCACGAAAGAAGACTCAGGATGAGGACAGAAGGCAGAGTGATGCCTTTGACTGTTCCGTCCCGAATTCACTGGGTGCTTTAATGTGTTACTGAACTACAAAGCTCCATAGGCAGGTAAGACTCCCTGAGTCCCTTTCGTCTCCACGGAGTGGACAGATGAATCCAGCTAAGTAAGAAAGTGATCAGGGTTTGCACACCAAATCTGTAAATTTGTCCCTAAGGTCTTGACACTAAGGGACCCTCATAGTACAGGAGCTAAGACTTTGTTTGACAAAGGTCTGAAATCAGATGGAAATCTGCGAGTGGAACGGTGCAGATGTATTCTGGAAAGAAAGTGGCAGTGAGATAAACAGAGCCCATCCCCACATGGGAGGGAGGTGAGCAGGCCTGGCTCCCCAGCAAATGTGCTCCCTGTCAAGGGAAGCAGCCTGAGCATTAAGGAAATGCCCTTTTCCATAGCAGCCAAGGGATGCTGCTAAGGTGGTGTCCATTCAGGGTCAAAATACTGCAGAGTAACGCAACGGGGTTCTCTTCAAGTCACGGTCACCGTGTTGATAGTCAATCGAGCAACAAAGCATTTATGAATAGCAGCTGGGTGCCCCGCATCATACCAGACATACATTTGGGAGGAAGTTTAGGCCAGATAGGGGAGATTCTGTACTGACCACCTCTTTAGGCCAGCTCAGAGTTCTAAGAGATTCGTTTCTCCTTCCCACACTTGGTAAGACTCCAATTGTTGTGTCTTCTGGAAGTACTTTCCATTGTAGTGATTGTACAGAATGATTAAAGGACTTACTTGAGGAAGTTTTCAAGGTCATCACGACTGCAGGAGGACCAAGAGAGGTCACTGGGGTTCCGGCCTTTTACCCACTCTCCTGACATGATGTGGGATCTGCCGGCACAGGACGAGTGGTCATCGTCGTGGTTCATCCCCAAGCTGCCCGAAGGAAAGGAAAGGGAGAGAGGGACACTTAGGCTATAGGCTTTCACCTCCAGTTCCAGGTTCCAGCATACTATGCTAACTTAAATCAAGCCTGAGAGGCGACGAGTGACAGGCTGACACCCAGTCCTTGGCTACTCTCAACAGAGCAGACCGACAGCCATGAGCTTACAGAGAAACAGAGCGACGATCTCCTTACTTCATGAATGAAGACTGACAGAGCACACAGAACACCACAGCATTTGCTAAATGCATGAATAAATGAACAAATTATATTCACTGTGATATCACAGTTCTTAAACTGTAAGTTTCTGATGATTACACTTGCTTTTTGACACTAAAATATGCCAATATTAAGGATCTAAGTGTTTTGTTGCCCTATGGGGAAGTCACCACGTGAAGGTCTAGTGGGGACCATCTAAGACTTTGACTTATATAATATCATGGGTGCAAATCTCCACATCAGTGAAAAATGCGGCTTTTCTATCTTTCACATCATTATACCTGGGTCCACCGAGATCATACCTGTCGCCTTCCCGGCCCAGGTGTACCTCATAGACACCAGAAGGCCTGTCTAGACGTGTGTGGTGGACCACGCGCTATAGGCTCGATGACAATCTTAGTTTGCACATCTGTTGTCACTGGGATAACCTGGGACATGGAACATATGAGAGCAGAGGGCACACACTTTGCTGACCTGTGATTTCCAGGGCAGAGATTCGCTGTGCCAAAGGATGCCCATCCTCCGTCAACAAGCCCAAGGGAGACAACATGTGCTTTCCTCCATTCAAACATATTTATGAAAGGTTTCCCGAGTGCCAACTAATGGACTAGAAAGAGAACAAAGAATGGTGCCCGATATGCCATCCCTGACCTCAGATCACTGCCAGCCTGGGCAAAGAGAAGACACAGACAGAGATAAGTCTAAAAAGAGGTTCTAGGGCGCCTGAGTGGCTCAGTTGGTTAAGCGACTGCCTTCGGCTCAGGTCATGATCCTGGAGTCCCAGGATCGAGTCCCGCATCGGGCTCCCTGCTCGGCAGGGAGTCTGCTTCTCCCTCTGACCCTCCCCCCTCTCCTGCTCTCTGTCTCTCATTCTCTCTGTCTCAAATAAATAAATAAAATCTTTAAAAAAAAAAAAAGAGGTTCTAAAGGCTTCTCCGGAACACTTTTGTCACTTTCCCTCATACGCCTCTGACCATCTTCCGTCAATTCCCCCTGCTGGCTGCTTAATCCTGATGTCTCTCGACAGAAGCCTGTGTTCTTACTCTGCATGCCCTCCAGGCCCCTCCATACTCTTGCCTACGAGACACAGCCTTCACCACCATCACCATGTGGAGTTGGATTAGCCAAAACCACCCACGTCCTTTTTGAAATACACCGGCAGGCCCTCGAGCTCCTGGGTCTCCGGGCTGGCTGGGCACTCTCTGCTCACCCACACAGCTCTACTCCCATGAGTCAAGGGTACACTTAACCGGGGCTTAATCGTATGTATTCGCAAACCGATTTATGTCACTAAGACTTGCTGTGTCAATTAACATGTGTGGTTACATGTGGTGTTAACCAAGGAAACAGGAGAACAAAAGTCGTTTTCAGGAAAACTAATTTAGCGAGTGGCTAAAAATAGACTGCTGCCAAATTGGGGATGGGCAAAACAAGTGTAAAAGATGAGGGGGGAAAAAACACAAAAATCTGCCCTGGACTGCCTCACAACGGTCTTTTATGTTCTACTCCATCTAAGAAAAAAGAAAAAACAACCTGGGATTTGAACTCCTTTCACTACAGTTGCAGCTTGCGTGAGGAAGGTGAGATGTAAGTCCAATCAGCAGACACGCACCCTCAAAGGAAAAGCTTTCACCCCCACCGTGAAATTGGTGAAAAAGTTAACATTTTCACGGCTTAAGCTAAAACAAAATGTTGAAGGCACCGAAGTATAATTTCTTTACGTTTCCCCACTTGGACCAATATTTTTGGTCAGTTGGTTAAGTGACTAACTACTATCCTGTCAGAAGAAACCACACCTGGGTGCCACCTTCATGTTGATGGCCACGTTGTGCCGTGGTCAGGACCGCTCTACTAGACCCTGCCCTGAACAATGCCCTCCCTCTGCGTTTCCCAAAGGCTCTTCCAACTCCGCAGATTCCCTTGGGGCAGCTTTCTATCCCAGCTTCTCCACCAGTGACTGGCACAGAGCACGCACTCTGTGCAAACTTCTTGAACGAATTATCTATTTAATATGGGGGAAAGCACCACCAAATCGGAGAATCCATATCCCTTACAGGGCTGCTAAGTCTAATGCAGTGGCGGCTCGTTCAACAGAATGACGCAAACTTTCTCTGGCTAGACTCAGTCTTGCCCTCCTGCCAAGAGACCAGGTAGCCATCCAATTCAAGTGAAATGAAGAACCAAGAGACTGTCCGAGAAGTCTGACCAATAGGAATAATTTAGATATATTTCTAGTAGTTACTTCGCTGAATGAGTCCTATTTTTCAGTACCGTTACTCAGCTTTTCAGGTTTTCTTTTTCCTGCTTGTTATCTATCTCTACCTATCCGTCTGTCTGTCTATCTACCTATCATTTCTTTGTTTTGTGTTAACTTTTGAAGGAACTAACTGGTTTTTCAAGTATATTTATACCAGAGGATGTTAAAAGTCATCTTACATCTTGATTTGGGTTTGACTTGAGATCTTTAAATAAAACTACTGGTAGAGTTTTCAAATGGATCTTCTGAAAATGTTGATGGATTTCAGTGAACTCTGCTCAGTGTGTAGGGGTGATAGAAATAAAATGTCTTGTGAAAATGGGGCTCCATCCCATCTTCGGTGACAAGGTGTAAGCACAGTATGCAGACCAGTGAAAATGCTTTGTTGTCAACCTTGGAGAATCCAGTCCTACGGAGAAGCAACCCGTGAGTCAGTTGTTCATCTGGCTTTGCACTTTTATAAGCCGGTTCCCGTCATCCCGGGCTGGGATCTCTGGAGCGGCCACCAGATGGGTTTTTTCAAACAACAAGGATGCTGTTTGGGAAACCACAATTGGGGGAGATCCAAGCCCTGGCAGAGTGGCCTCACCACATATGGAGGAATGTTTCCTTTGTGACCACTTCTAAGTTTTCTCTGGTGATCAAGTTGGTTGTAAAATGAAAGAGCCTTCTTTGCTCGCTCTGCCAGGCTCTGCTGGCCAGAGGGCCTGGTCTCTCAGGAGACAAAACTATGTTTAAAACAGTGTTTAGAAAAGCTTTCTATGCCATCCAAAGCTGTGCGCCTGCACAGTATGTTATGTGAGTGTTTCAGGACAGCCGGCCTCAGAGGAGGACTTCCCCAAGGAATGTTCCAGTCAGCAAGATCAGCCAAGAGTGGGATTCTTGGATTCCTGGAGCCTGTGTCTAACACAGATCGGGCTTGATCTGGTTTAAAATGTTCAAATGCTAACTGCCTCATAAATTTACAGTTTGATGAACTAGCATTGGGCTGGGAGTCTTGATATTTGAGGTTTACATAAACTACTGTTTAGGCTATTTTTAGATTAAATTCAGGATCTCTTGACTGAGAAATGTATGTTGTTTTAGGTTTATGTCCCAGGGCATCTATTACTTCTGGCAACATTATATTGAACAAAAACAGGTAGCATTAAGCACACACGCTGATTCTAACTTGAAGTAACAGTGGGTTAAGGACACAGGCAGGCCTCCTGTCACACGTGATCCAGATTTATCAAACACAATAACAAGTTAATGGCCTTGAGTTGATTTTTATCTTAAAACAAATAACACATTGCTTCTGTATTTGCTTTAGGAAATCCAATATATACCACGGAGGGAGTTCTAAGAGAACCCCTACAGTGTTCACCCCCTCCTAGCTTCACCCCAAACCCTGAAAAACCATGGAGAGGGCTGGGTGTTCTAGGCTTGGTATATCTGCCATGTTGAAAGCTTTGGTTTTACCTGGCTCTAAGCCTACCCGTCTGTCTCCCAGAAGCTTTGGGATTCTGACATCAGGATGCAATCAGGTCCCACACCTCCCCTCAAAGTAGTCTTGCCTGGGAACCTCGGGCAAAGGCTCCAGTGACGTGGCCCCTCCACTGAAGGGGTCCTCAGCCAGCCCAGGCCCTATCCTAGTAACCCTGAGGGCAGACGGACAGTCCCTTTTCAGGAAATGCTCACTGACACTATAGTAACAGGGATGGCTCAGGGCAGTTTCCAGGAAATGAGAGGCAGAGTTGTATTAGTTAATATTACTTAACATGATAATAACCAACACCCCAGCTTTACACTAGGAGGAAAATTCTCGACTGTCAGTACTTCTTTGCCAAGAACCACACTATGCCCTCGATCTTCAGCTACTCAGAAATGTCACCTACACGTGCTGAAAGTCACTAGGGGTAACAGGCTGCACTCCCTTATACAGGCTAAACTGTCATCATCACCCATAACCCCACTGAGGGGGAACCAAACAAGTAGGCAGTGATCACATCACAATCCTCTCACCCGAGAGAAGTCTTTGTTTGTCTTTGGTTGTGCACAGGGAAATGAGCCTAACAGGCTCATGCAACCACCAGAGTAGATCTGGGGTCCCTACAGGTTCAGCTTTACCTCCTACACACGCAGGATCACCGTGGGAAAAATGATCCTAAAACGCCATGAAATTCGGAATCACCAATGGGCAAATCATGATCAATAGAGCGCTGGTGTGAAATGGGCTTTGCTGTAGTGGATTACATCAGAGTAGGTGAAGATGGAGAAGACATGTACAGTATAAGCCGTCTCTCTTCCCTAGCCAGAGCACTCAAGGAACGAAAACACTCACGTTCTTGAATTGATACGTAAGGGATTTTGAGGTCAGGTATCTGAGTCAGGTCTGTCCTCTCCTCAGTCTTGCCCAGGACTGCGTAGGTGTGCGCATGCATGTGTGTGAGTTTATTCACATGGAAGATTCACATCAAATGGGCTGTTAATTTTTCACTTAACAAAAATTCAACTAACTGTGGTAAAAGAGAGGTA